GAAACAGACACAACCCTTTAAATAGATCTGAATGTAGATCTCATCCTTCCCATCCGGAGATGAAAATTATAGGGAGTCAGTGATGCTCTCCTCCCCCTCTTGGGGCTATACAGAGGTTGTATTATTGTCAGGTGGTGAGAAAGCAGGTGGAGGGAGTCAGGAGAAGCAAAGTGTTGGGGAAGCTTTGGGAACGAAAAATCCAGGTGTTCTGAGGAATGAGACAGCGTATAACCCATAGAGCAGGCAGGTTGCTGAGAACTGAAAATGTTGAGGCTGGCAGATAATTTCCTGCTGTATTAGCCATGTAATCAGCAGTCTTCATACATGTCCTCTAGCTACCTTTTTTTTTCAGTTACTTTATCAAGATATGACCATATTAAAGGTACTACTTGCATGTGGTGCCTGAAGGTCATTCCTTCTTTGCTGACGCAGGTGAGTTTTCCCTCCAAGATTAGTTCTCATCTGAGTTACAGCACAGTCCTCTGGCTCTTTTCCTTTAGTTACGATTATCCTGCAGAGGAATCAGACACTCTTTGCATGGGGTGAAAGATCTTCATCCCAGCTGCTTCTGAAAGCATCTGAAACTCTGTAAGAGGCTTTCTTTACTCAGACCCCCAGTGCACATCCCAAGAGTATCTTTCCTGAGATGTGTGAGGGCTGCAGTTTGAATGGAGGACCTAAGACCTAAGTATGGACTTTTTGTAACACCTCTTTGATATGAAGCTGAAGAACTGTTGAGTCAGACTTTGCTGCATCCTCTCACCAGAATGCCAAGCCTTCCACAGAAGGATTCTGACCTCTCAAGTTGATGGGACATAGAGATACGTTTCTGTGTTGGGGTCCTGTGCAGAAGTTATGATTCCAGAACTGAGTATTTTTAGTGGAAGGCTCAAATTGTGCCTCTAGATGCAGATACGGGAATGAAGTGCCATGAAGAATTTTATTGCTGACACGGGAAACAGTATATCAGATTAGATGAGTTTCCTTATACATTCTTTTTTCTTAAATTTCCTCTGTCAAAAGGATCATCTCTCTTCCCCACAGTTCCTTGGCCATAAATCACAAAACCAGTGGCGAAGGTTTTAAGAGTCCAAATTCTGCAAAAGGTTTGCCTTTCAGCTTTCCTGTAATAGCATAATTTCCATTACACAGTGCAGTATAATAAAAATGAGAATGCGGTGTATAAATGTTGCATAACTAGCATGTTGGATAATGTGCATTTTGTTCAAATAATTCAGTAAGATTTCAAGAATTTGTTATCTCTTTTGCTTAGAGGAAACTAATAAATGAATCGTATTGGAATTGGATTGCAGAAGTATGAGTTAAAGCAAATTCTTGGCACAATTCTAAAATGGTTTTTTCTCTTAAATTCCAGACAAGTCTGATGTAAATTTTAGTTTCCTGAAGGACACTTGTGTTTTTTTGTGCCAGGCCAAAAATTGTGTTCAGTATTTCCAAATTCCCTTTTGTGACACATAATAATTGTTTTCTCTTTGTTCATCCATCAAAGCCTTAGAAGTCTCTTTTGATTACTAGATGTATTGAAAAACATGTAGTTACATCCCAGTGCTTAATTCTTTTAACCTTTTTGCCTTTAGTAATATTCTTGTAATACTTGTTTCATTCCAGTCCTCATTACACTCTGCATGTGTCAAGATTCCTTCGTTGATCCTGTAATACTTATCTCACTGTGGATGTAAATGCACCCTCTATTTTTACCCCCAGTATCCTCGTGTGTGCTGTTTGAATAAAAAGCTAGATAATCTGAACTCTCAAGATTAAGTGCTAAAAATTGTCAGCTTATCTCTGTTTGTTTATAGACAGAACAGACAATTCTGAAAATAACCAATTTCGTGCCCATTTTCCTATTTCGAGGTTGATGCTGAGGGTAGTAGGAGCAACAGTAATGCACATATTCTTTTTAGAATACATTGAAGGTTCACGTTTGAAGTTTGTGTAAAGGGAAAGTTTTTTAAAACTTTTTAAATTGTTGGCAGATTTGTACTTCCTTTAGTAATATTTGTTGGCTAACTCTGCTCTTACCTAAACTGTCTGAGTTGAATTTGTCTTATCACGCAGTATAGTAGTCTCTCTGGTAAGGATCCAGCTCCATTAAAGTTAATGGCAGCTGTCCAGTTTAATTTACAGGATTAGAGTTATTTCCTATTTCATGTTATCTGATGAAGGACTTGATTAAACTTTTCCAGTATGCAGGTATGGCGTCTTATGTTTAATTTTTTTTCTGTCTAGAAACTGATTTCCCAGAAACAAGGAAATATTGCCCTTTCTCTTTCAGCTTAGCTTCTGATGATTATTTAAGCAGTCCAAGCAAAAGAGTTTCATTTCTTGCTTCTTTCTGACTATGATTTAAAAGTAATTATTTGCAACTTAAGTGAGAGAGTACACTTTCCTTCAACAATACCACTTCCTCTGCAGTGAAATCACATTGTGTAGATGTGTTGTTTCCTATCCTGGGTAGCTTTTGGATTTTTGGATTTGATAGCAGTACTTCCAGAACAGTACTCTACTTGCATTATGTGACACTTAGGAGGGTTTTATTTTTCCTCCTCCTTCTCCACCTCCTTACCCACCTTCTTCTCCTCCTCCTCCTCCTCTTTTTCCTCCTCCTCTAACAAATTATGATGTTGCTAATAAAAATAAAATATTATGGTAGAATTCACTGTAACAACTTCATTTAATTTTAGTTTTAGTGACTTTTGGTTAGGCATTTCTAGACGCTTCAGATTTCCCTGTTTTATTGCCTTCTGGGTAATTCAAGGATTATCTTCGGGTGGTTTTTCATTTAATAATAATTGGAGTGGTTTTAAAGTAATAATAATAATTATTATAACATTTTTATTTATGTTTTATTTTTATTATTACATACTTTCTGCCTAACATCAAACATTTATCTTTTCATGATCTTTCATCCCTTTTTTATTTATGAGTGTAGGATGAGTGCATGAAAAAAGTCATTGATGCTTCTTATTTTACCCAGCATGTTTCTGTGGCAGCTTGTACTGTCCAGCTATCCTTTGATGAGGATGTAAAGGTATGGCAGCAGCTGCAGTCAGGTAAAAAGCTATAAAAAATAGCTCCTGAAGACAACATGCTCCTGTAGGACAGCAGGACCCTTACATGCTCTGATACAACTCTCACCTGAGCATGGTATTTTGGAGCTAGCATGAGGTTATTAACCATAGACACTCTGACATAAAACACGTACTGATGTAGAGCCAACTTTTCAGGAAATACATTTCTTTAACATTTACAGCATTGTTACTTCAGCCTTTATTTTTCCAAGTTATTACTCACTTACTAGGTATTTGAATCTGTGTTGTTTATAAAATACAGACATCAAATGACCAAACTATTAGATACCAAATTATTCTCCAGAGACATTTTAAAAACATACGTTCATTTGAATTTTTTTGCTGCTTTTATTTAGTGATTTTTAATTGACCAATATAGAATCATAGAATTCTTTAGGCTGGAAAAACCCTCAGATCAAATCCAATCATAAAACCTGCACTGCCATGATCACCAGCAAATCATCTCCCCACCTAGCACAGCCACACATTTTTGAACACTTCCAGGGATGATGATTCTGTCACTTCCCTAGGCAGCCTGTTACAGTGCCTGGCCACCCTTTCAGCAAAGAAATTTTTCCTAATATATAACCTAAACCTCCCCTGGTGTTATTTGAGGCCATTTTATCTTGTCTTGTCATGTTACCTGGGAGAAGAGGCCAACCTCCATCTCACCACAGCCTCCTTTCAGGGAGTTGTAGAGATTATGAGGTCCCCCCTGAGCATTCTTTTGTCCAGGCTAAACCCCAGCTCCCTCAGGTACTTCTCATCAGACCTGTGCTCCAGCCCCTTCCCCAGCTCTGTTGTCCTTCTGTGGATACTCTCCAGCCCCTCAGTGTCTTCCCTGAAGTGATGGGCCCACAACTGGACACAGCACTCGAGGTGGTGCCTCAGTACAGGGGGACAATCCCTGCCCTGCTCCTGCTAGCCACACCATTCCTGATCCAGGCCAGGATGTCACTGGCCTTCTTGGCCCCCTGGGCACACACTGGCTCATGTTCAGCAGCTGCTGACCAGCACCCCAGGTCCTTTTATCCTGGGCAGCTTTCCAGACACACTTCCCCAGCCAGCAGCGCTGCAGGGGTTGTTGTGGGCCAAGAGCAGGACCTGACCCTTCATCATATTGAACCTCATCCAATTGACCTCACCAAATTTATCCAGCCTGTCCAGATCCCCCTGTAGTACCTAAATTACTTAAGTTATTGTATAAATAAACAGCTGAGATTTAGAAACCTTTACCCATTCTTTGCATTCACAGCGTTTTCCAAAATGAAACAAAGAAAACGTTATTTTACTTTTTTTTCCTAACATCGCTGTTGGATTAGCTGGTAAGAGTTGTCCTCAGAAATATTCCAAACTGGATTTTTATATCCGCTGCAAAGTGGCTTTGGGAATATTAGTTATTGAACAGTATGAGCCTGATTCAAGCCGATTAAGTCAGATCTCCAGACTTCTGTTATCTGATGTATTTCTTAATTTTCAGAGATCAAAAATACTTAGGAATATGAGTGAAAACACCTCTTGAACTGGTAGCACATTTTCAAAGGAAATATTGAGTCATTCAATGTTATTTACAGAGCTAAGCATTGTTAGAAGTGTTCCGAGGACTCAGTCCCACAAAAACATTTTTGTTAAAAGCAAATTTGAACAACTTCATCTGAGATAGAGCTGCATTCAGTTACTTGGACTTACGAACTACCTACATCCTTTCATTTTGTCAGTTGTTTGCAGGATCAGATCTGAAACAGATTTTTTAGACGCTGTATTTACAAGTGTTACTATTTATTTTCCTGGGCTTTCACAAAAGCAGCAGAGGGCGCTGAGCCAACGGACACCGCCCGATGTGAGTCTCTTCCTCCCTGCTCTGGATTTCCCCGTCCAGGGATTTCCCACTCTGCCTTAGGAGAGCCTTTATAAAGAGCACGCTAGAGTTCTTGTAATAAACTGTTGCAGAGCAGCAAGATCTCACAGTACTTCTTCACAGAAAATAGAAAGTAAATTTTTGAATTTACTTTAATTGACTTTAATTACCCAGTAACAGCAATTACGTATGTTTAAAGAGATGGGAAGAACAAGCCAGGCTGTGCTGGTAATTTTGTGTATGTTAAGGACCGGTAAGTTGGGGAAAGTGGGAGTTGGTGGTGCTTGTTTTAGTGTTTTAACTTTTTTAAATGTAAAATGACCTAAAATTTACTGCTTGATCCTTATTTCTCTTTTCTCCAGTTACTTTTTCATTTCAGTGAATACAACTGTCAATTAAGTAGTTCTGTCAAAATGTCAGAAAGCCTTTTTTTTGACATTTACTTTGAGCTTTTCTGTGCTCTGCAATGACTCAGTCATTTTCCTATTGAGTTTGCTAAAAGACAGTCTAGGAGACAACTCCAATATATCACTGCATGCTTGATTTTTTTTACTGTCATTCCTGACAGTATCAGGCAAGTTTAGTACTAAATGTCCTGTTGAAAGTGTTTCTGCTGTTGTCTTTGCTATCTACCTGCTACCTCTCCCCTCAAATGTGACAAAGTTTTAGAACCAGGTACACCTGACAAAAAAAGTTATATTATGCAGGTTAATTTATTTAAATTTGTTTTATGCCATCTTATACATGAAAACTGTTAGTCATTTGAGTCTGTATTGTCTTTGACAAAAATAGCAAGGTTTATGAGGTGTTTTGAATATGTAAACCACTGTATGAGCTTTATTAGTTTAATTTCCACACAACCATAAAGAACTGAAGCTTAAAGACCTCATGTCACAGTAGAACCTGAGAAGAAATAGGAAGATAAAAGTTGAGAATGCTGCTGAATTGATGTGTGCTTTTACTTTTGTAGTTAAAGCTTTTGAAATGGAAATTATACCTGCTGAGAGAATTGTGGCACAGATTGGAGACATGCTCATACTCACATGCAATACTACTGGCTGTGCATCACCAAATTTTTCCTGGAGAAAACAGATGGACAGCCCCCTTGGAGGAAAAGTCAGCAACCACAGGACATATTCTACATTGACTATGAATCCAGTTAGCATTGTGAATTCTCATTCTTATCTTTGTACTGTCATATGTGATGATGGAGAGAAAAAGGAGAAGAGTGTCAAAGTTGAACTTTACTGTAAGTAAAAATGTAGAATTCTCTTTAAATAGTACATGTTGATAGAAAACTCAAAAATTGTTTTAGATATTGCGGTTACCAGTTACCAGTTAACTTTTAATTCTAGGATAATGAGTCTGTTATAGCTCAACATGTACTTCCTTCTAAGATTTCTTTGTATGTCTGTTCAGGGCACTTTCTTAGCTCTTTCTTGCTTATCTTTCTGCATTGAAGATTGTTGATTCTTATTTTTGGTAGTTCTTGAAAGCCAAAACATACACTGCCTGGATGATTTCCCAGAGCTTGGAGAGAAAAAATCACGGCCTTTGTAGTTTGCAGGGGAGTAATTCAGATGTCTAAACCTACCAGCACAGAAAACAGGATAGCACTACTGTATGGATTGCTCTGAATGCCTGTAGTTAGGCAGTTGTATCACTGCCTAGGTGCCATGCTGAATCTTACCAGATCTTTTGTGATCACATTTCAGCAATTGTACAAATAAAATTCTTGTTAGTACATGAACTGCTAATAAAGGACTTGTAAGTCTTCAGATCAAGATATGTCTTGTAATAATGTTGATAGAATGTCATCTAAACTGACAATATTTGGTGTCTGGATCTTGCTCTTATGTTGACCCTACAATTCATCTCTCCTAGTCTAAAGAAATTAATTTTATTCTTTTAGCTTTCCCCAGTGATCCTATCATTGAGATCAGCCCATCCTTAGTTGCTGGAGAACAAGCCACTGTCATCTGTAAAATTCCTGATGTGTATCCTTCTGATCACCTGGAAGTTCTTCTAAAGAAAGATGAACATGTTCTTCATAAGGAAGATTTTTTGGAAGATGACAGCATAAATACAGAGACCAAAATTGTGACATACACATTTCATCCCATGGCTGAAGATATTGGGAAAGAGATCACCTGTGTGGCCAGGTTACCAATTGCTGATATGGATTTTGAACCCAAAGAAAGAACATCTTCTCAGAAACTTAATGCAAATTGTAAGTATTTTTGTACAAGAGCTTTGGCTAGTTAACTTTCAAAGCTGCAAGCAAGACATCTAACAAAGTCTGGGAAAATTGTTCTGTTGTGCTACTGGGATACACATTATTCATTTTTTTCTTGGTATTCTGTGACATGTACCTCTAGAAAAGCTAGTGTTAGAGATGTGCATGTCATTCTTCATTTACATACTGATCTTGTCTTCCTTTTGTTCTCTTACAGTTGGTCCACAAAATACTGTCATTACTGCATCTCCAAGCAACTTGCCAATGAAAGGAGGTTCTCTGAACCTCACTTGTGTGACTCAGAGTAACCCGCCAGCACAAATAGTTTGGAGTAAATATTTGGCTGAAGAAAGCGTTCAGCATCTGATAAAAAACAATGTTCTTTCTATTCCCCATGTCCATTTCGGTGATTCGGGACTGTACGTCTGTGAAGTAATTAATCTGGTAACTAATAAAACAGACAAAGCAACTGTGGACATTATTATACAAGGTACAACTCTCCTTGAGTTTCACTTGTATTATCCAGTACCTAACTAGCTCATCTCTGTTATGTTAGAGGATCCTGAAACACTGAAAATTAGGAAAATATGGAGCCTTCCTTGTTACATATTCGGGATTCAGCTTCAATTTAAGGCTGCTCCTCATGGGCTGTACTTTTTCTTTCTATATTAATTTTCAGCTAATTCTCTCTGTACTGCTGTTGTATGTGCACACTTCTATACATTTCCCACAATACAACACTAAAAGTCATGTAAGAATCTGAGAAAGTGGTGGGGCAACACACACTGTTATTTCCTTGAAATATAATGCACGTTCCAGTTTCACAGGACATCAGTCTCCTTCTTTGAACTAGCAGTTTTAGTCATTAATAATAAATTTAATAGATGTTTAATGGTAAAACTGTTTTAGACATAATATTATTGTTGTTGTAATATTTTATAATTGATTGATTGCTACTGTTTTGACAGAGCCAAAAGTCTTAGATTGAATCTGGGATCAAAAACAAAGTTAACAGATCCTTGAGCAAGCAATTCCTGCTTTCTTAAAACTCTCTCCACCTTTAGTACCTTTGCATTTTCTTTTAGTACCTAACTGCCTTTTCTTTTCTCATGAAGGTGCCCCAGTCATTACAAAACTCTCCATTGAACCTTCTACAACAGTTAAAGAAGGGGAAAATGTTTCCATACAATGTTCTGCTGAGAGTAACCCTCCTCCCGATATTATTTTAAGGAGAAAATCTGACAATGCAAACATGGGGCCTTACAGTAGCAGGAGTATTCTTCTTCCGTCGGTGAGGTTCCAAAATGGAGGAGACTATGAATGTGTGGCAGAAAATAAGTTTGGGAACAGTAGAAGGGAAATCACACTCAATGTGAAATGTAAGTATGCGTAAAGTTTTCCCAGTCATTTAAAAATAATTAGTTCTTCAGTCACAAATATAACCATCAAATTAAACAAAACTGTATGAGAACAAAAAATCATCATAGTCCTATGCTTTTCCTAAGAAAGGAGCGGTGGTAATGAACAAAACAAAGTCATGAAATCTTTAATGTGATGACAGTCTTTAGTACAGATCTGTACGGATTACCAGAACTAGTACATTTCATGTAGATCTACATGGTTAGAATGTTTAGGTTATGGAAGGTTTGTATGGAAACTCTGATACCACGTGCTTTACTCTTGTTTTGAGAATGAAAAAGCAATTACCTTTGGGAGGGTGGCAATCTAGTATTTAATAGGACATGTTGGATCCATCCCTAAAAAATCCAGTGATGATTAACTATAGGATTTTTCCTTTCATATGGACCAAAGAACACAATGATCACTGTTATCCCTACTGCTGCTCTTAGTGAACGAGAAACTGTGACAATGAAATGTACTAGTTCTGGTAATCCAGCTCCTGTGATCTCCTGGAAGAAAAAGAAGGCCACCGGGGAGTCTGAGAAAATTTCTAAAAATGCAACTTTAACTATACAGAACTTGAAAAGTCAAGATCCGTGGCTTTATGAATGTGAAGCTTATAATCCATTTGGCAAGGAAGAAAAAGCTGTGAAATTATATGTTCAAGGTTTGTAGAACAAGATGGAAAACAAGTTTTTTGGTTTATATAGTTTAGGTCCAGATCTTCTTTGTGAAGAATGAGGTAATTGTGTCTTTGGTGTCAGTGGAGTAAAAAGGTGCCCCTAATGTCACTGAGTGATTTAGGAAGATTTAAAGAATGAAGCATGATGTCTGCCTTGGTACAGATAGCTTATGAAAAGTTCTTAAGTCAGCGGGGCTTCCATCACTCCTTCCAACTGACAGGTGTATGCATGAGGTAAAGAAGATATGCAATGCCTGGAAGGAAATATCCTTCCAAGCAGGCCTCAGTGCATAACTGCATAGGAAAGAGTCAAGGAGACAGTACCTGCTGGAGCTACTCTGTGCAAGCACTATATTACAGCTCCTTGCTTTTTCCCTAAGCTACAACTCTGTTTCCTGCTCTTATAAGCTGCATTTAAGCTACAAGAAATGCTGATTGCTCCGTTTAGATGGAATGATAGCAAAGTTTAATTTCCAATAGTAATCAGACTTCTCTGCTTTAGCTCTGCTGCTTCTGCCTATTGCATAGCAACAGTGTCTTGCTTAGGGATCACTTCTGCCACCAATTCAGCTGTCTTCCCTGTTCTTTACTATTTTTATAGCTGCACTAAAGAATACACTTTTGATTTCCCCTTCAAGCAAAGCGAAACAAGGACAAAGTGTTACCATTCCTCGCATATCTGCAGATGTTAGATCTCTTAGGAGTAGTCTGTAAAAGAAAGCTGGTGATGGGTTCACAACCCTTGAAACAGTAGATAGCAAATATACAACAGACAGGGCTCAGCTAAGGGATGCAGGCAAATACACATGTATATCTTTAATGAACTCAAGGAGCAGTCTCAGCACACAGTATTTATGTCAAAGGTTAGTTAATATAACTGCTGTCCAGAGTTCATATTAGGATTTGTTTTACACAGAGTGACATCTTCAGTTTCATGAAGAATTAATTGTCTTTTAAAAGACTGACATGAGTTACACAGGTACTTGTCATAAGTGATAGGGTCTTAATGCTAATGACAACTTTTGTCCAAAATAGCAGATGCATAAAATAATTGCTGCTTCAAAATTTTTCGTATTTCCACTTCATCTTTTGAAAACAGGATATAAAATTGCGAAACCTTGTGAAAAAAAAATGCAATTCTAGGCCCTTTGCCTTTTTTTGTCTTCTGTTGAAAGAGGACATCAGCCTCTGGGTTTGTTGGTCTGTGCCCTTTCATGAACTCAAACAAATAAACAGTGAATTTGAAATAAGAAAAGAGGCTTCATATAATGTAAAACTTATGTAACATACTCTATCAATTGATAAAATGTTCTTTTTGCCAGCTGCTGTTGGTTTAGTGGTAAAGGATAGCTGGTGACAGAGCAGCGTCTAAAGCTACATGCTCAACTACTACAGTGGGCCCATTAACTGGATTAGTATTTTGCTTGTAAAAGCTGCTGATGCCTCATGAGTTCTGCTTCTGTTTGTTGCTAAATCCTCCCTTGCATTTCTTTTCAGTTCCTCTCCAAAATATTACTATTAGTATGTCCATCAGAAAATGTTAAAGAAGTAGAAAATACCACTGTTAATGTAGCACATGTACCCTCAGAGATGGTCCTGAAAAAGAGACCATTATGAGAAATTATTCTGCCATCAGTGAATGGAAACTTTATACTCTGCAATGAAACCAAAATTTATACAAGCATATATGTCCTTCATTTATATATATATGTTTTCAGTGAGGTTGGAACAATACAGAGATTGAGATAGTTGTTGTAGGTAGCTGGGTCTATTGCCTTAAACCTATTTTGTTTGTACCTTTTACTGGAATTTGTGTCAAGGTGAGCACAACTAGTTCACAGCTAGTCCTTCCACAACAGTACTGTGGTTAACCTAAAAAAACCTTCACCTAAAATCAAGCCAAACAACCTGGTCAGAATAAGCTGTATTTTAACCTCCTTTCAGTGTGGCTTTCATGTCTCTTACCTGAGTTGGTGTGGTGGCTTTAAGGCTAGAGTCACAAAAAGGTGATTCCTGGCTGTGTTTCTGTCCACATGCATGGACAGTGACACTAATCCAGAGAAGGTCATGTTTCACAAAAAATCTAAATATTGAGCTTTTAAAACATGGTCTTCCTTTGGAGGATGAATTTCAAGAGGTTGAAACCTATACAAATGTCTCCTGGGTATAATATGTGGTATTCCTCCTGTATTCTTCATTAATTTCATGGTATTCTCCATTGTAGATGATATCAGATAGGTTTGAATTGCATAGCAAATTCTAGACCAAGATAGTGGGTAAGAATTACAGTATGTAATATGAAGTTACTAAAGAAAAAAATGTAAGGAAAACAAATAAAGTATGCTTTGTGCATGAAAATGGAAATATGTTCCAAATTAAGATCATTAATAACACTGCTTTTAAAGTGATGCACACGTATCTGTTTCAAACAATATTTACACATATTTTTTCTCCTTTTGTCTCCATTTTCAGCAAGATTGGAAGAACCAGTGCAGATGATACCATTGATTATCGCATTCTCATCTGTAGCAGCAGTAGTGGTACCTGCAGTTGCAATTTTGATCTACGTGTCAAGACAAGCAAAGATCAATGGATCCTACAGTCTTGTAAAAGCACTCAGGTTGAAAGTCTGATTATGTTAATATAAGTCTTTAGTTGATAATAAGCACGTTTATTTATTGCTGTGACTGGTTCTACTCTTCTGTAACATATGGTAACAAACAAATTACTTAAGAACAGCACCATGTGATAACAAATGGGCTTATTTTCACGTTTTGATAAGTGATTTGGTATTTAAATTAAAGGAAGAGCTAGAATCCTGACCTAGAAATTGGTAAATCACTTCTGTGTTGAAGCATTCTGAACAAAGAGCTTTGTGGAGAACTAGGTTTGTACATAGTGTATAATTTGTGTTATAAATATGTTCAACTAAGTATCAGTTTGTGAAACTGAAGTCTTATTGCAACTGTACAGAAAAAAATTGTTAATTCAAAGATATAAATCAATATTGCTTGAGCTGATCAGGTGATTGGCTTTTTTATAAAAAATCAATTATTTTATTTTGTATTACTCTGTAGCATGAATGTTTTTTATATAATTTGTCTGGTTGTGGTAATGTTTGGAAAATGTTCTCTTTTCACTGATATTGCCATAAACTCTGTACCTCCAATGAAGTTACACAATTGCTGGGCTATGCATTTCTAACAAACTTAAACTAATTTAAGCCTTTGAGACTCATTTGGGAAACATTTTATTTTAAATATTATTCAAAAAAATGTCTGGGGTTATAATCTAGTAAATTCTAGGACTGCTAAGATATTCTTGCTGGCTTCAATCATTCTCAAATCAATGTCAGAATTCTGTAATTTTGTGATGAGCCAAATCAGACCCTTCTTGTAAAATATAAGCAGATTGTAAATATGCTTTACAGATTTCCACTGCAAAATAAAACTACCAGTAGATTTAATTGACTAAATCCCCCTAGTGTTGCTTGTTAAAGATTATGCCAGAATGCACATTGCTGTGGAAGGAAATTGTCCTTGGCAGCAGCAGTTGTGGGTGTCATGGGAAAGGCACAAATAAGGCCGGCAGCAACCTCAAGGCATAGGCAGGAGGCACAGCCAGAATTTGTGCACGTCGGCAATGATGGGTGAGTTGTTTCCTGAAGAAATGCCCTTCCCAAGCTACTCACTGTGGAAATCTAAACCACGTACTTGACAATTTTCTTTTTAACAGAGAACTGGTGTCTGCATGCTTCACTCTGGTTAGTGCCTCTTTCACCACACACTTTCCAGTGTGGAATTTCTCAGGCAAAATGGCTGTGAAAATAGTGGACTTCTGGTGCAGAAGCAAAGATGAGGGAAGAAGAGGTGGAATTTGATAGTATTCTTCCTTGCCTCCCTTCTCCTGATTAGCAGTGGTGCTTTGACTCATCTGGGTGCTGATGTTCAGCACCTAAGGCAGAATTGTGGGAGGTACAGGCTTTGTGACTGAGATGTTGAAATGCACCCTGATGTACTGTGACCTGATCCACAGTGTTAAGCACAGGAAGGTAGGCCTGGTCCTTCCAAGCTTGCACACAAAAAGCTCAAGCAGAGAAATGTGAAAATATGTCTTTACATTATACACATGGTAACAACTGCTGCCAACAGCAGTGCAAATGTGGGTGCTAGCTCTGGGATGAGGCAGTGGTGCACATCTCCCATATTCTTTCATAGTGTGTTCAGTAGTGTTTTGTGCACAATAAATCAGTTCATGGAGATGTCTATCTAAATTGGAAAGGGAGGCTTGGAAAGTGGGGGTGTAGCAGAAAAATGGGAGAGCAGTGTGGACTTGGCTTGGAGGAATGTGAGCATGCAGTAGGAGGGTGAAGAAAAGATTGAAGACAGAGGAGGAGGAGAGCTTTGACAGGCCCATGACATAAATTTCTTGGAGGTGGTGCCAGGCATATTTATTCAGAATAATGTCAGGCCTGTCTCAGTGCTGTCTTGTGAATAAACCAGAAAGCAAGATTTTTTGCACTGTGCAAAACTTTGGTGCATACACATTTTGCCTTTTCAGTGAGGTTCTGGTGTCTGGATTGCAGGAAGGATAGCTAGGAAAGATAGAGAGGAGGACTGGTAAACAGGACAAATGAAAGTGCCTGGGACTTTCCAGTTTGAAGAGAGAATGCTGAAGGAGGAGGGGTTCTGACTGATGTTTTCCAAATTGTGAAGGCAGTTGATAGCAAACAACAGATGCAAAACTGTTTGCTATATCATGTAATTCCAGAACTACAGGATATGCAAACTAAGGAGAAAGTGGTTCAACAAAAATAATAGAGCAGTACTTTTTTACAGGGTGAATGTTAATCTCCTGAAAGCTTCTACAGAAGGGTCAGCAGGATAACAGTATCACTTGGTTCAAAAGCAGAATGGAAAAACAAATGGGCTAAAGGTCCATAAACGTAAATGAAAGCAAGTAGACAGAAATGGACTGTGCAACATCCCTAATTCAATGTCCATTGATGCTAAGCAATTCTCAGGATATATTCCAGAGAAAGTGGCCACTGTATGATATCCTGAAATAGTGTCTTACACTGCTGAAGACATTCTGGTGTTGGTGGGTTACTGGTGAGTCCAACCAATGTATGCCTTGCCTTCTTACTCCTCCTATGAGCAGCCAGCTATGGGCCAGACCTTGCAGAAGGGGCATAAAAGTTCCTGTGTTGTTTTTCCCTTTCCTGTGGACTGTAAAGATTAAAGATGGGTGGGAGAGAAATAGGAGCCATCTTGCAACAGTGCTTTGGTGCTTGAGTAGTCTTTACTCAAAATTCCTCCACGAGTTTCCAGTATTTTTTCAGCTGTTGGTTTTTTCAGTATTTCCCATACAGATACAGATGTTAATGTCCATGTGGCTTGTCTGCCCTCTCAGGACCTCCATTAAGGTATTAAGTGATTTAAGCTAATAGGAATTGCTCTTTTATTTCAACAGGGCCAGCTTTTCCCCCACAAACTTTAAGCAAATATATAGAAGTTCTAGTGCCCATTTTAGGAGAGGTTGCTCTTGTGTGGGCAGTGAGCTTCCTAGCAGTGAAATCACAAAGACGGATCTTGCCAGGGGATTTCCTCCCCTACTGCCTGATTCTCGGTATTTTCCAGGGAACTTAATGATATCAGTACAAGCTTGTCCCACGGAGGTTGAAAGTTCACAGTCAAACAACTTCTCCTTTTATTCAAAATTACAGAAGGATTATTGCTTCTCCTTGCACATTTTCTCATCAGGCAACTTGAAGAGCCTCTGCCCTGGCAAAAAGTCATGAACAGCAGCTCCAGCCCAGCAAGTGGTTTCAGAGCTGCCTGGAGGTCTAGGTAAGAATCCCTGCCACATGGCCTGTCTTTATGATCAAAAAAGTGGTCTGTAAAGCAAAGTGCTGTGACAGGTCCTCTCAGGTTTTCTCTATAAAGTCATTTCACAGGTTATAGATTTGCATTTTCCTCTGTCTGATCTTTGGCTCAAGCACAGCTTTGTCTTTTTGTCTTCAGGAGTTTAGCCCAAAAATACTACTGGGCAATGCTCATATGAGTCTGGATTTTAACAGATGATTGCAAAATCTCACTCCCTAAAGTCAGTTCAGGGTTAGGGTTCTTAGGTATTCTTAGGTTAGGGTTAGGTATTCTTTCATGTAAAGATCAAACAGGAAAATATATATATTTTAAATGTCTCCAAGAATGCTTTCAAATAATTTTTTAGGTATATGGAAGGCGACAGTTAATACATCCCATGAGAGAGGTGCTGTTATCTGTTGGAGATAACACTGGTGGCCTTGTATTTGAAGGGAGGCTCCTCCTGCTTTCAGGGACTAGCAAGGCCTGATCAGGATATTTAAAGCCAAATGATGATCTGGGGTCTCTAAACAGGGAAGGCCATTCAGCTTTATGGACTTGCTGCTGTGCTGGACCATATAATTTCTTTCAGCAGAGCATGTTCCCCTGTAAGGGATCTGATCTGGAAATTCCTCACAGAGAGTATGCAATTGTCCTTGATTACAAGGTGCCCTTCCTGCCACATATATGTGGCCTATTTCCTAATCTAATTTTTCTGTCCTTTTACACCATTCTCCCCAAATGATAATTGCATGCTGTAATCAAGTCATCTCTTATGTCTTTGATAAACAAAAGACATATGGCTGTTGGAAGCCTACATTTATCAGGCCTTTTCTATAGCAGTAAACAATCCTTGTAGTTTCTTCTAAATCCCCTCCAGCACTACACATACCTTTCAACATGAGGCAAAAAAACATTGTCAAACCAACCAGTCCGAATTTTACCTAGACCATTCAACTTAGGAATCAAAACCTGACAGAGTTTTTGACACTATACTCAGTTTGAAGGTCACTTCACATTTAAGAAAGAAGTGAGAGAAGTGGTTATATCAGGGAAACTCCCTCTCTTGTTCCATTATCTGTTGTGCAGCTCAACAGTCTTTAAGCCTCACAGTCTTTTGGGATCCACATGCTACATATCCTGCCACCAAAGTGGTGCAGTTTCCGTATTTCCAGAAATATGGAAATGCTTGTGAAAAGAGTGATGCGCTTTGATGTTAGCTACCAGGCATCTTAGTAGTCTTTTTTTCCAAGTCCCTGGGTACAAAAGCAGGAATCTCCTTTCTGTCCCTCTGCCTTTCTCACCTGAGGAGTCCTTCTGATGCTGCTGAAGTACACAGGATGGCCAAATGTGTGGCTGTGGGATACAGGGTTGTGAAGTTCCCCTTGTTTACAAGGTCCTTGGTTCCTCTCAGTGGTTCTGCTATGTTTAAGGTTCGTTGCAACTGAACCAGGGAAACAGTTTTTTGACAGGTTGAAAATTTACCCTTTAAGGGCACCTTTTACTTTTTGCAACATGTAGAAATTGAGAAATTTAAATCTGAAGATTTATTTCTTCAAAAGGCAAATATATATTTTATAAATAGATGTGATAATGGAGTCTGGCACTCGGTGCTTACGTGACTTGAAGGAGAATAATAATTACTTTCCTTTTCTCTTTTTTAATTGCAGTAATAAACATTATATCCATATGTGTTAAAAGAGAAAGGAGCATAGGAGAAAAGTGAGATAATTTGACTTTAATCCTCTTTGCTGTGAGTGATTGTAAAAATTAAAATGTTCTGTCCTAATGCTGCTAGTTTTTTCTCTTAAATATTTTTCCTTTCATTTTGAATGAGAGGCAGATATGGGACATCTGTTCTCAGCAGCTGAAAGAAATGGTGGCATATGATGTTCCAACACAGATGTCATGTCTTGAACACTCCCACGTATTTCCAACTGTTATAAATCATGTTGTTCTTTCATATTTATTGGAGATTTCCAGTGATGGAGACCATCAGTTTTTACAGTGATGTAACTTTGAGACACTGCTACCAATTGAGGCAGAGCCTCTTTGCTAGTCAAACCTGGTAGATTAAACTAGCTTTTTACTTTCCCAAGCACTTGGTGTACAGGGCAGAAAACAGCACTTGACCCTTTGGCACCGCTGCTAACATGCAGCTGAACAAAGAACTTCAGAGCATAGGGCTGTGATATTTACTTGACTTTCAACTAATGGGCTCACACAACAAAATGTTACCACAAATGGTGCATTCATTTGCCTGTTTCAATATCAGGAATACATATAAAATAGAGCTAAAACACAACTGCATTCAGTTTTAAAAATGACACTGAAAATATATCTACTGTTCTTTCTGTTGATTTCCTGTTTAACTAAAATTGAATATTTTGTCCATTTATTCTCAAGCATCAAAACAGTTGAGTGAGGCAAGACAGCATGATTCTTCATTGTTGAATAATCATTCAGGCACTTGTATCTGAAAACCATGCAGAAATAAATATTTTAGTGAGCTAATTTAGGTTTTGAAAATAAGCTCTGGGGAAAAGGAAAAAATTTCCTTCTTACAAACAACATAAAGTTCCAGCACCACATTGTTGTTGAG